CACCCCCAGGCCCCCAGGCCCCCCAGTCCGCCCCGGCCTTTGCTGAGACCTCGGTGGCCCAGACCACGCTCTCCACGACCGAGGGCCGGTGTCCACACCGATGGACGCTGAGGCCAGCAGGCCCTGGCCAGCAAGTGCCCGCCGGGCCCTGTGACCCCAGGTCGGGCCCAGAAGGAAAGCTGGACCCCCAGATAAAGGACTGCGCCGCCCCCTGGCTGGCTAATCGCAGGGCCACAGCCCTGCGCCCCGCCCCCCGGGGCCATCTGGGCGCTGGCGATGGCAGCCGGCGGGCCCTGTGGTCCCCAGGGGCGCCGCACACAGGCTTCAGGAACGTCTCACACGTCGCTGGCTTCCTGGCCGGGGTCTCCCGCCGGGGCGGCCAGCGGCCAGCGGGCCGGGGAAGCCTGACTCACATCCCCAGAGGGCGGGCGGGGGCGGCGCACAGGAAGGCGCTGATCCGAGTGTCCTTGCTGGACGTCACTGCTGAGGAAAGGCCTTCGTGGCCCCCACAAGCAGCGGGGGGGTGGGGTGGGGGTGGGGGGCGGCCGCCCGGGCCCCAGGACGCAGAGTTCTCCTGCTACCGCCACAGCACCTGTCCTGCACTCGGTTGCAGGGACCAGGCAGCCATGGCCTGCTGTCCGTCTGCCCTTAATTATTTCAGATGGGCCCTCCCTGGGGTGCAGCGGGTGGGGGCGCAGCCCCGGAGGCCCCCACAGCGACTTCCATCCCCGCCCGCCCCGGAGGGGACCCCCAGGGCGCGGCAGACCCCTCCTGTCTCCCCGCGGCCCCCTCAGCAGTGGACCTGTCCATCGGGCCGTCCTGCTCCCCGCTCTGCCTCTGGGGAGGCCTCTCCCCGCCGCGCCTCTGGCCTGCACCCCAGTTCTGTGTGCATCCATCAATACATCTTTTCTAAAAATAATGCACTAGTTTACTTTCGCACCGTCCTGTGCCTTTCCCATCGCAGCCGCATCCCCGTGGGCTTCCCACCGCCAAGTCGCCCGTGCGCCGTCACCACAGTCCCGTGCACCCCCGGCCCCCCTGTTCGACCCCGTTCCCCAACCCACCTCTGTAAACTGTCTCTGGTGTGTAGCTGTTCCTTATCAATACATACACCGTTAAAACACTCCTGTCAGACACTTCTCCAAAGAGGAAATGCAGATGGCCAACAGGCATATGAAAAAATGTTCAACATCACTCGTAATAAGGGAGATGCAAATTAAAACCACA